ATAAAACTTAGTATCCCAATGACTGAGGCAGTAATTGATATCTGGACATCTTTTAGAAGGCTTTTAAGCCCAGGCGGTTCATTATTGCAGCGGTCCATATTTAATGCATGCTTCGGACACGTGCAGCCATGATCATACTGGGTTACGACAAACTGCATTAGGCTACTGGTTGATTTGTAAACAACAATCCCAGATTTGTAAACGGGGCTATTTTTGGGCAGGAACGCACAGGAACGGAGTTCCGGCTGGCTCCTGAGTTGGCCACGCCCAGCAGGAACCTCATTAGCAGTAATTGATATCTGGACATCTTTTAGAAGGCTTTTAAGCCCAGGCGGTTCATTATTGCAGCGGTCCATATTTAATGCATGCTTCGGACATGTGCAGCCATGATCAGACTGGGTTATGACAAACTGCATTAGGCTACTGGTTGAAACCCTTAATAGGAATTGTTTCCCAGATTTGTAAACAGGGCTATTTTTGGGCAGGAACGCACAGGAACGGAGTTCCGGCTGGCTCCCGAGTTGGCCACGCCCAGCAGGAACCTCATTAGCATAACAGGCCACACGCAACAGCAGAAACTCATTAGAATTGGCTACATTAGGGGTGTGTGACCTAAGATGCAAAGGAGTTCCTGCTACAAAAAAACCCCTGGGTTTTGACAACAAGCAAGGGCAACAGAATAAGAAGCAAAAGGCGGGTGTGGCTGGATGACCACACTTCTGGTAACATGGGGGTGTTGCCTAATATGCTAATGAGTTTCTGCTGTTGGGTATGGCTTGTTATGCTAATGAGGTCCTGCTGGGCTTTTTCTACAAAAAAGCCCTGTTTGTAAACAATATACAAAAGCGAAACAGCAGATGGTTTCAATTTTTTTCTGCCTGGGAATTTATTAGAAAGTGAGACGGGGTCCTGTTCTCTCTTAGCCATGTTGAATTAGCTCTCTGGCCACTAGTCTGTTGGTTCTTTGGCTGAGCATCCCACAGGGATTTGGAGTCTGGCTAAGTGCTGCATTTTTCCAAGCAAGAGTGGATTCTTTGATGCACTCTGCCCTAGAAAACAGTGTATATTTTCCCCAAAGCTATTGTACTCGTCTCTAAGCCTAAACATAGATGATGATAATAATAATAATAATAGATGATGATGATAATAATAATAATCATCATCATCATCTTTCAATTTATTGATCGCTCAATCCTTGCAGAGCTGCTGGCTCTGAGTGATTTACAGTTACTCTTTTCACGAGGGACTAACAATGCTTTATAGGGGTAAGGGAGGACAACACATATAATCTTTACATAGCACACGTTTTGCAGCCGATGGGGATTTGTTCAGTTGCAACTCAGACGTGATCCGGACGGCATTTTCCCCACTCGGCTTGGCTTGGCTGGATGACGTCAGCTCTTCCTCTCCAGGACTCTTCGGGTCGCAGCTCCATACTGCCACCGCCTGGCCAGAACGGCCCATTACAGACTTCTTGATGCCGAAGAGATCTCCTAGGCTTTTTGATCTTGCGAGCCGAACCTTCCGTTCGCCGGCTAACACCTCCCTCACCGGGGGGGGTGTGTGTGCCCACCCTCTCTAAGGAGTGGTAACCATTTTATCTACTCGCCAAAGCTTTAGAACCGCTGGGTGGACGGCTCTAGATTACCCGGCTCTTTAGATATCCTTGACCATGATACATGTCTAGGCCTTCTCGACCCACCAATAACATACAGATAGAACGTTGTATCTTCGAAAGTTTCTGCATTCTGGTTTTGAAAGTTCAACGAATAAGAGATTCTTTGGAACAGCTGTCTTGAATGCAATTAGGGTCCCTGCCAATGCTCCCTCTAAGCTGTGGAGTCTTGTGAGCAAAAATTCTACTTTGTGAGCTACTGGCATTAAAGCTGTGAGTGAGCAGTTTGGCTACTGCATAAATTAGTTTGCTCTGGAGCCATCCTTCCTGAGCTAACACAAAAACATGAGAGCCGGAGGCTAAAAAAACCTGTGAGCTAGCTCACAACTCAGCTTAGAGGGAATATTGGCCCCTGCCTATTTCCCTCCCTGTTGAACCTGTTGAAAGGCGCCTGCCCTCCTAATTCCTCTAATATTCAAATACGTTGTTTTATCATGGCAGAACGTGTATGTTTTGGCCGTGTCCAACGGTAAAAACATTTTTCTCTATAATCCTTGCAGATATTTATCATATTGCAAGCGGGGTCCCCAGCGTGGTAGCCCACTGGCATCTTTTCCAGTCCCCGTGAAGTATTTTTAGAAAGTGGGCGTGGCAATGTGGGGGTCTGGCCCAGCAAGTCTTCCGATAGGCCACTCGTGAGCTGACCGGTTGTGCAAATTAGAATACGGTCTCAGTGGGAGTTACCATCGCAGTGTTCCTTTTGTCCTCTCCAGCCCATCTTTCCCGGTGTGTGTATGTTCAAACTATCTCTTTTCTCCCTTGCGCCTGGGCCTCCTCCGTGTGCGTAGCTCTGCCTCCTGCAACAGCCATTTTATAGTTGTGCCCATCCCCTTGTGTGAGAATTCCAAAGGGTTCCCACAAGCTCAAAAGGTTGAGGAGCATTACAGGAATTATCATCTCTTTAGATCCCAAGACAGTATTGTTAAGATTAGAGATCAGTTTCTTTTCTTTTCTTTTTTTCAGTTTTTCGGAAAAAAACAAAAAAGGTTTCAGGAAAAAAACTGGAAAAATTCGGGAAGAAATGGTTTTTTTCCCTGAAACCTTTTTTGTTTTTTTCCCAAAAAATTGAAAAAAAGAAAAGAAACTGATTATGGAATGTTTTATTTTAACATGATGAATAAAATGTTTAAGACATGGTGTTCAGATATTTTCCAAATCATTTCTAAAAAATGTGTATGGTATCAGATTAATCAAATTTCTGTGCACTGAGGACAAGCAAGTCCTAGGTTACAAACTGAACTGTGTAATAGTTGTTTGGATACACTATATATTTAATATGCTAGTTGTGATAATTTCATGCCAAGGGAAAATGTCCATAGTCATATTTTATGTTCCTGAAGTAACAGAATGACTTTCAATCTGGAAAAGAAAAAAGAAGTGCTAATGTAGCATTTTTTTCAATTTTCCCAAACATTTCCGTTCCCCCCCCCAAAAAAAAAAATGGAAAAAAAACTGGGGGGGGGGTTCTGAGCTTCAAAATTTCCGGAAATTTTATATCTCTAGGTAAGATAAGTTTTCTGTCACTCAAAAGCAGTGGATATTTCATTGGAAGGTTTTCCCCCAAGCTTTCACATCATTAAGCCAATTGACTCACAGAAGAGCTGTGTTCGCCACAGTGATGGATACCTATTAAAACAGACTAACGTGGAAGTTTTAACCCGATTCTAGAAGGTAAGAAGAAAGTGACACAGTCCCAGCCAAATACGTTCCTTATTTATCTAGCTCTTCTGACAAAAAAAGTCTTCCAAATTGGCTTGCGGCAGCTAAGAATGCGATGCACTGATGTTACGCGTAAAAAAGGAGCAATGCATGTGAGTAAGGTGGATGCTTCAGTTCGTAGCACACCAGCAACATTGCTCAAAACCAAGGATATAGAGACTCAGGAGGAGGTGGAATTCACTGCGGCAGGAAGTGGTGGCAAGTCAACTAGCATAGACAGCTTCAAGAGGGGACTGGATAAACCTATGGAGCAGAGGTTCATCTGTGGCTATTAGCCACAAGGTATAGATGGAACACTCTGTCTGGGGCAAGTGATGCTCTGTATTCTTGGTGCTTTGGGGGGGGGGCAGTGAGAGGGCTTCTAGTGTCCTGGCCCCACTGCTGGATCTCCTGATGGCACCTGGGTTTTGGCCACTGTGTGACACAGAGTGTTGGACTGGATGGGCTATTGGCCTGATCCAACATGGCTTCCCTTATGTTCTTATGTTGTTAAAGGCTGGTTGGTGAGTGAGAAGGAGAGAAAGAAGCAGATGAAGGGGAGAGGATGTGGGGGCTGCCAGGAGGAAATAGTGTGGTTCTGTACTCTGACTTGACCTCCGCGACAAAGACAGGCAATAAAATAAATTTAAAAAATAACAAACAGTAAAAATGTTCCCATGTTTTGGTCTGGGAGGGTCCTGTTCAGAGCACTGATGGGGAGCTATTTGACTAAGACAAATCTCCCAGGAGACTTTGGGAGTCCTGTATATATGTTGTGTATAAGTTTAAGATGAGATAAACCAATAGGAAATTATCTTTGGGGGAGGGGGAGGTTAAGTGAAATCTTATGTCCTTCTGCTCCTGTTGTGGTTGGTCATCTTGCTGGGACAGCTGTGCTACAGACCTGCTGCTCATGCAGTTTGGTCCTAAGTCCCCAGGTTTGATTCCCCGGCAGCTCCAGTTAAGAAGCTCAGGTAGTTGCTGATGTGAGCTGTGTCCCTGGAGAGCCACCGCCAATCATAGCAGGTGGCCCAGACCAGTGGTTGGCAGCTCCATGCGCGTCCTGTGACCCAAACTTATTTTTTAATATAATTTTATTTATTAATTTTCATACATGCTCGTTAGTTCATTCATATACATACATCTTAGAGTCATTTATCCGTTTTCTAACCACTTATACATTCCCGAGCATCATTTTGCAAAAATTTCTTCATTTCCCCCCTGTAACAATAAACTCAGTTTATCCATTTCGGCTACCCCCATCAATTTGTCTATCACTTCCTCTTGTTTCAGGGTATTGTCTTGCTTCCAGTACTTTGCCCATTGTATCCTAGCTGTAGTTAATATATATAGTATTAAGAATTTTTCATTATAATTAATGTGTTCTGGAAGTATATTAAGTAAAAATATTTCCAGCCGTAGCTCAAGTTTCACTTTAGTCATTTCTTGTATTATTTTCTGCATAAATATCCAGTATTTTTGTATTTTTGTGCATCACCACTACATATGATAAAATGTTCCAACACTTGCTGTGTTCCCTCTAAGCTGTAGAGTCTTGTGAGCAAAAATTCTACTTTGTGAGCTCCTGGCATTAATAATCCTTCCTGCATTTCCCTCCTCCGACCAGGGAAAGCCAGCCGGTGGTTTGGAGTCACGACACCCAAGTCAGTGAAGGCCAACGTGAACATCCTCCATCAGGAGAAGCTGATTGCCCAGAAGAAGCGCGAGATTGAGGCCAAGATGGCCAAACGTGGCCAACTGGCCAGTCAGCAGTCAGCGCAGAATAGCGAGTGCGTCCAGACGGTGAAACCCTGTTGCCGCTTTTCCGATGTAACCAATATTGGTTGGGGGGGGAGACATGCCATTCTACCATTTTCGTGGTCCTGTTTATAATCCCATTTATAAACATGACGGCAATCATGTTGTTATACCTGCATTCCGTTTTAATGATCTTTTAAACAACCCTGTAGGAAATGCAATTCTTGGTATTGCCGTATCGCTGGTGAGTGTTTTAAATAGTTCATATATTTTATTGTATTGTAATCTCTGGGATAGCCCTGTATGATAGGGCAGTGCTGCCCCTCTTGTTGCGGGGCTAAGAGAGATGGTGTGCCTCCCAGTGGAGCAATGGACGTACATGTAACAGTTGCCCGTACTGGATGAGGCCTGCCCAGCAGAGCCGGCCAAATGCCTCCACAATGCCCACAAGTGGTGGCATAAAAGGCCTACCTTCTTACATTGGAAGATAGACTGCTCTTGTACAGGAAGATTCCACAGAGGTAACCGCATCAGGCTCACGGGTCCATCTAGTGCAGCATCCCATTTCTGAGCACAGGAACCTCTGGCAAGTCCATGTGCATTATAATTGATCTCCACCCTTTAAAAAGGTGGTTTCTCTGGCTTTAAAAAAGAATCACATACGCTAGCTACTTGCTTACGTGCGGGGCTAGATTGAGACACTCCCCTCCCCCCAGCCAAATCTCAGTTTAGCCTGGAAGATCACTGGATGGACTTAGCTTAACCCTTGAGCTGGTAATCCACAAATTGCCTGCCGGCCTGCGTCAACAACTAAATCAAAGAGTTGACTTCCCGATGGCGCTTCTGGCTGACTATAGAGGCCGCCTGCTATGCCTCTGAACAGTTTACTGCTCTGACTCTCCCTGCCCCTTGGCTCGACATCACCCCCCCCCAAGGGCCATGTAGTCTTGCTGCCTCAAGTGTTGTCCCTCCTACTGCAGAGTCTCTGCCAAAGCACTCCCCCCTCCCCCCAAGAGCATGTCCCTCTTCTTTAGTGGTCTTCTAGTTGGAAGGCACACAAGTGTCTAGTACTGGCAACATATGAGGTCTCTCCTCCACTGGTAGCTACTTCGTCCTCCAGGACTCTTAAGTAAACCTTTGGGGCTTTAAAGGGTGAGCTGCGGTCCCAGTTGACATACCTTGCAGCAGAACGAGGGGGTGGAGCCCTCAGGTGGTATAGTGGATTGTGCTACTTCAAATTGTACAGAGTGGATTTCAGCTTTGGAGGGTTCTTTCCATTTAAAAGGAGAGAGAAGAGATTGGATATATACCCCACAGTTTACAATCTCCTTTCCCTTCCCCTCCCCACAACAGACACCCTGTGAGGTGGGTGGGGCTGAGAGAGCTCTGAGAGAACAGCTCTGAGAGAACTTGTGACTGACCCAAGGTCACACCAGCAGCTGCACGTGGAGGAGTGGGGAATCAAACCTGGTTCTCCCAGATTAGAGTCCGCACTCTTAACCACTACACCAAACTGGCCCGAGTAGACATTAGCACAGCAGGGTGAAA